TCTTCACGCCCGCCTTGGTGCGCAGCGTCTCGGAGGCAGCCAAGTATCCCAGGATCACCACACACTACACTCTGAATCCCCGCGAGAAAGATGAGCGGTGGGCAGAGGTGGACATGGAGCGGTGTATAGAGGAGGTGGATCTGGTCATCGTGGGCGGCGGTCCGGCTGGCATGTCGGCGGCCATTCGTGCCAAGCAGCTAGCGGCGGAGAAGGATCAGGTAAGTTTTGGCCACCTCTCCATTCCCGGCTTTAATTATCTAATGTATCTACTTTAAGGAAATCCGCGTCTGCGTTGTAGAAAAATCTGCCGAGGTGGGCGGACACATTCTCTCTGGCGCCGTCATCGATCCCATCTCGCTGAACGAACTTATCCCCGATTGGCAGGAGCAGGGTGCTCCCTTAAACACGCCTGTGACCAAGGACACCTTCTCCTTCCTCACCGGCAGTGGACGCATCTCCATTCCCATCTTCAAGGGCTGGCCGATGGACAATCACGGCAACTATGTGGTGCGCCTTGGTCACCTGGTCAAGTGGCTCGGCGATCAGGCGGAAGCTCTGGGCGTTGAAATCTATCCCGGTTGTGCTGCTTCCGAGGTACTCTTTCACGAGGATGGCAGCGTAAAAGGCATAGCCACCAATGACGTGGGCATTGCCAAGAGCGGAGCGCCAAAGGATACCTTTGCGCGTGGCATGGAGCTGCATGCAAAGACCACTATCTTCGCCGAGGGCTGCCGGGGTCACCTGACCAAGCAGATTATGCAGAAGTTTGGACTGAACGAGGGTAGCGAGCCCCAGGCCTATGGAATCGGTCTGAAGGAGGTCTGGGAGATAGACGCCGAGAAGCACCAGTGAGTACTCACATAAGATGATCGAGAAAACCATATTTAGTATCCGTAATTCACAGACCCGGTTTGGTGGAGCACACCATTGGCTGGCCCTTGGATCGCTTCACATATGGCGGCTCCTTCCTGTACCATTTGAACGAACCGACGCCCACCATCGCTGTAGGCTTTGTGGTTGGCCTGAACTACAAGAACCCGTGGCTCAGTCCCTTCCAGGAATTCCAGCGCTTCAAGACGCATCCCAAGGTGCGTCATGTCTTTGAAGGCGCCACCCGCATCGCTTATGGAGCACGTGCCATCAACGAGGGCGGCTTCCAGAGTTTGCCTCAGAAGCTATCCTTCCCCGGAGGCTGTCTAGTAGGCTGCAGTGCAGGCTTCCTAAACGTGCCCCGCATCAAGGGCTCCCACTACGCCATGAAGAGCGGCATGCTGGCCGCAGAAAGTGCCTTTGAGGCCATCAATGCGGACGCACAGTCCACAGCAGGCGTGGAACCCACCAGCTATGCGGAGAAGTGAGTTTGAAATCTTGCAAGAGTAAAAGTAGATTAAATAACCAACTTTGTATAATGCAGGATCAAGGATTCCTTTGTGTGGAAGGACCTCTATAGCGTGCGCAACGTGCACCCCTCGTTCCACAATCCCTTGGGCCTTTATGGCGGCTTGGTGCTCAGTGGTTTCTCCATCTTTATGGGCGGCCGCGAGCCCTGGACCCTGAAGCACGGTCCCCAGGATCACGAGTCCCTTCAGCCGGCTAGCTCCAGCCAACCCATTGTATACCCCAAGCCCGATGGCAAGATCTCCTTCGACCTGCTTTCGTCCGTGGCGCTGACGGGCACCAATCACGAGGGTGACCAGCCGGCTCATCTGACCCTAAAGGATGACCGCATACCCGTGGACCACAATCTGGCGCTGTACGAGGGTCCCGAACAGCGGTTCTGTCCCGCCGGCGTCTACGAGTACGTGCCCAATGAGGAGGGCGGCAATCTGAAGCTGCAGATCAACGCCCAGAACTGCATCCATTGCAAGACCTGTGATATCAAGGACCCCAAGCAAAACATCAACTGGGTGGTGCCCGAGGGTGGCGGCGGCCCCGCCTACAACGGCATGTAAAGGGAGATCTTAATCCAGCCAATATATCGTGTACCGGAATTGCATTTCGTTAGTTTGTAAAATTGAAATTGTATATCGGATTTTAAGCTCAAAGTTGCAATAAAAATTATAGAGAGAAACCGCTTGGAGATTGTTCAGTTTGCCAAAAAGGTTTTATTTAAAATGTTCTACTATCATTTGCTAGGTTTTTTCCTTGCTTTCTCTGTTTAAAACACCAACTTAATAGGTAAATATTGAATCCACAATTTGTCCAAAACCTTTCATATTCAGTGCACGGATAAAACTTGTTTCTCTTTAAATTTATATATATGTAAGTATATATAGTATTTCCCACACATATATATGCATGTATATAATATACTATCTTGTTTTTCACCAAAATGGTTGCTTGTCTTAGCCTAGAGTTACGATTCAGTTTGTGTATATATTTATTTGAACAGACACATCGATGGATACACTTATTGGGTAGCCGTCTCTAGCCTCCGTGCAGATCCTCGAGTCACTCCCAATCCTATCTAGAGCTTAGCTAGCTGAACGCGGTATCGTTATTATCGGTATTATCTATGTCGTGAGTGAGTTAATGCACAAGTCTTTGAATAACTATTCATATGATGCGCGTGGAGGGAGTGCCGTGCCACATAAATCCATTACAACAGTGCTTTAGGTTTAACATTTTATCTAGGTATATGTATGTATATAACGTTTAGGCTAAAGGTACAGCGAATACGAATTTACACGTCCGTTCAAACCGAATCCGACTTGTGGCATACGCCGTGCACACACTAGTTCTGTGCCGTGAGTGGTCCCTGTGACCGTAGGACGTCTTGGAGACAGTCAACTGTACAGTGCGTCGATCGAATATATAGTCTATATATTATATTGTAGTATATTATCCTATCTGTTCACTAAGCTATAGGGTTCTCCTCTTGCCATGCCAATTTGAAATTTGGTATCAGCTTGCCAACGCCTTTCCGTTTGTACATTACGTGCTGCTTTGGGGCCTCGATTGGGGATAATATCAGTTATCTACGCTTAATTAAGTAGCACAATTAACACCTGTATTGAAATTTTTCACCATCAAGTTGTTCGTTATCATTATCATTTGCAATTATTTTATACTTTTCGTACAGCATTTAGTTATTTGTAACTGCAAGTATCTGCTTGTTCATCTTTAAAAAGAGGCACTGTTTTTAAGGCAACACTACACAGTGAAGTTATATACCAGGATCTATGTACAATCAACTAAGGAAGGCTTTAAACCAAAATGAGAAAACTTGGGAAGATTCGAAAGGTCCTTTTCGCAAATCATATAAAAATTAGATAGGGGAGGTTACAGGTCACAACATCCAAGTGTGCAACAAATATACCCACAAATATTCACATTTAACACGTATTTACATATAATTAATATATATATAACCAACTCTGACTGGAGAGGATTTAAGCAACTGCTCCTGGGGGTGCTGCTGTTTCAGGGAAACCTCTCGGCTCTAGTTGCTTATCATATAGTATATAATATATAGTATATCCTATATATCCTATATATGGCTAGAAAATATCATTCACGTGCTGCTCTCTATGTGGTAGACATATATAATTTCGCTCTCGCCTCGTTCCGCTTCGATCTGCTTAAATATGTAGGTGTGTTTCTTCTTGTAAAGCTTGTTCAATGGGGAAACCTGTAGAGTGTAAGTTTGCTTATTGTTTATGCTCGTTCTGCACCTGCTTTTCTTTTCTTATATATTTTGTTTTTGCTTTTGTTTTTTTTTTGTGTGTTTAAATATGCACAGCTGAGATGCAGGCAGCCACCTTCTCGGTCTCGTATCAAATACAAATATACATAAATATTTTACTCTTTTTCGCTTTTCGCGCTGCTGTATAAAGTGCAACAGGTCATAAGAATGGCCAGTGCAAATATTTGCTCCGGCGCATTCACCTCTCTTAGTCAAATATTGAGAATATATTGGGCAATTGACATTGACACAGACACGCCACGCCCCCTTCGAGGCCTGTTCAAACAAAAAACAAGAAAATACAAGAAATATACAGAAAACAAATAAAGAATATAACCAAGATACAATTTTAATATTTACAAAATGAAAAATAAACGATAATTTCTTGAATAATTTTATTTAAATTATATTTTTGTTGAGTTGTTGTTGTTGTTGCGATTGTTGTTGTTTTACAAACTGCATTTTAAGATATAATTGTAAAAAATACAAAAGAACTTAGGCACAATAGAATTTGAAGCACTTTTCAAATTGAATAGAAATCCACTTTAAACGTAAATTACAAATTATGACTTCGTTTCGCTTAAGAGATGAAGAGAAGAAAGTGTGTTGTCTAATATTAAATAATAATTGCTTAAACCAAAGCTAAAACATAATCATAAACTGTGTATATATATGTCCTTGCATATGCCAGAAGGACAGGGACAGGGATCTACGATAAAAATTGCACGAAATTACAAGAAGAAAAATTATTATGTTCGAACACTGAGTACATTTTGCGTGTGTTTATGTTTGCTTAGAATTTCTCAATTTCATAGTTGACTTGCTTGGTTTTACGTATCTCCGTAATGCCTTATGCACTAAGTTTAAAACTTATGACACTAAAATCAAATATTTACAGCATAAAGAGCTCGTTCTTATCGTTCTCATTAAACCTTTTGCTTTTGCTTTTCCTTTTTCTTTTGTTTTTTGTCTGCAGCAGTTGCTTTTCCTTTTGTTGTTGTTTGACCTAAGATTAGATTTAACATTAAACTTTAACCGTACTTGCGTAATTTGTAATTGTAACTAAACTAAATCAGCTCAACACTCTAAACAACTTGATGCAAACTCCTCAGTGTCCCGTCCTGCGTGCCAGAATGATTTGACGCAGGATCTGCCTTTGCATTTTTATAAGTTAAAATTATAACTATTACCGTAGGTGTGTGTGTGTAATCGTAATTCATTTAAGTTACAATAACTATAGATATGACACTGTCACTGTTTGCTTAAACCGAAAACAAAACAAAGCTCCCCTCTGTCTCGGCCTCCTCCTCCATCTGCTCCTGCTCCTGCTCCTGCTCCTGCTCCTCCAGCTAACTCCCCTCGAAACTATTGCACTGGTGTGGGTTTGGGATCGGTTGCTACGGATGCTGCTGTGACCCGTAGGCCACGGCCAGCTGCTGGCCGTAACAGTCGTAGCCCGTAGCCTGCAGGAGGCCATAGGAGCTGCTGCTACGCGAATGCAGGAGCTCCTTGCGTGGCGGTGGCGGCATCATGACCAGATCGTCGCAGTCCGTGGGCTTTTTGGTGCCGCTGCTGATGGAGTTGCTGCTGGTGGTGGCGCTGCAGCTGGTGTGGTGGTGGTTGTTGTTATTGTTGCTGTTGTTGTTGTGATGTGGCTTGTAGTGGCTGCTGCTGGTGCCTACACCACGTGCCGGCTATGTGCCCCATCCGCCCGATATTCTCGGCCGTTTGTGGTTGGGTGCATCGTAGTCGCCCATCTGCTGTTGCTGCTGTTGTTGCTGCTGCTGCTGGTGTTGCTGCTGTTGCTGTTGCTGCTGCTGGACGGCCACGGCGGCGAGACGCACATCCTGGTCGCTGCTCGGCGCACCTGCATTAAGGATAATGAAGTCTGTTAAGCTATTAGTTTGATTTGCTCAAAGGTCGCGTGTGTATGACAAAGGCAGGCATCAGGCGGGTTTTTTGTTATTTTTTTTTTTTTGGTCATTCAGGCGGGGCCAGGACACAAGGACATTCGGTGCCTGGCCCGTGTGTGAGTGTGACTTTTGTGTGTATGTCTTGTGAGTGTTTTATGTGAGTGTGTTTTCTTTGGTTAGCAAGGAAATCGCATCGTTTTGTGGTGGGTTAGTGGAGGAAAATCAAAAACAAAGGCCAGGCAAAATCAAAAATAAAATCACAGAACTTGAAAATATCCCCCAGCAAATAGTAAACAGAACAGAGAGAGAGAAACTGATTCGACTTTCATTCCCTCCCAAAATTCACCTAAGAAAACTAAGAAATCTTTAACTAGAATTTTGCTAGATTTTCTTTTTTTTTCAATGTTTTATGCGTATTTATAGGTGTTGGTATGCATGTGTGATGTGTATGTGTATGTATATTGTTTCTTTGTTTTGTTTGGTTTATTTTTTTGGCCAATTTACCGGCAAAATTCCATCTAGGATTATGTCCCATTAGCGCGCGGTACGGATATCCTTCATACTTATCATGCCCTATTTTTATTTGTTGGTTGTTGTTGTCGTTTGTTGTCGTTGGGGGGTTAATGCAAAAAGAAGACACAATCGCATTATATAATAGTATTAACAAATATTAGATTGGCAGAGGTGTTGTTAAGTAAAAGGTAGAAACGAGAACGTAAATATTGCCACGCGGCGTATGCGTAATTTCACAGATTAAGTATACGCCCCGCTGGCCACTGCAGTTTAATTATCGAGAGAGAGGAGGGAGAGAGGTTTAGCATTAAAAAACATGCCGCAACTGTGAATCTTTTTAACAATTTTCTTTCAACAAAATTAGTAGACAAAACGGCAGCAATTTTCAAGCGGAAATCCTATAGGATAATAAAACGGAGAGAGGGTGCGACAACCGCAAGAAGAAAAGTGACGCCTACCTGGTGTGGGTGTGATGTGACCCGTGGACGAGGGCCGCGAGTTGGGCATAACCAGGTGCTGCTGCTGCGCGTGGCTCAGCACGCTCAGATTGGTGGCCTGCTCCACGTTGCCATTGCTGCCACCAGATCCAGCACCTCCACCTCCTCCGCCACCGCCGCCTGGTCCCGATGGACCTCCTGCCAGGACACTGACATTGTTCAAGTGCGTAATGACATTGGCGGCGGCTGAATTACCACCGCCACCTCCACCTCCTCCTCCTCCTGCTCCGCCACCGCTGGCCGAGGCATTGCTGCTGGTGCTGCTGCTGGAACCGCCGCTGCCCGTGGATCCGTTACTATTCTGCTGATGGCCACTGGAGGAGAGATCGCGCGGCGGCGACTGCGGCTCCGCCTTCACCTTAATGGAGACGGGTGAGGTGGCGGGCGGCGGCGTGCTATTCGAGACAGCCAGGTGCGAGAGACTGCAAAATTGGACCAAAGATTATGGATTGCCCCTGGTTGACTTTCACCCCTAAGTCAATGCTCACCTAGAGTGCGGCACCAGGCCCTGATGCCAGTTGTTGAGGCTCATAATGTCCGCGCTGCCCATCACCCCGGAGGAGGAGAAGTCCTGCGCCCCAAAGGAGTAGCTCGTGAGGGCGGGTATCGGCGTCTGCAGCGTGACAACGGGCGTGTTCAGCGATGCCTGGCTCTGTCGTTGCTACATAGTTGGGATACAACCTGGCTATAGGTACAGAAATCCAAGGATTAAGGTAGAACTACTTACATCTGCATAGGCGACATCGTCGGGCGCGGACATGTTGGTCTGTAGGGGAGCAATGGTCGGTGGTATGACGACCCTTAGGTTGGAAGCTCGTCCATTCTGGCTGCCCGGCGACTGCTGCTTGATGGACAAATGGTGGGCTGCAAGGACAACATGATTAGGATATTATCCTCGAACACTCAAAGCGATGGATGATGGAGTTAGAAGGAGGAGGAGTCGGAGGAGGTCAAGTGAGGGTAGGAGTAATGGAGTAATGTTTCATGTTTATGCCCACCTATGCCAGGACTGGGACCCGGACTCGGTGATCCCACAAGCGGCGAGTGTGAATGCGGATAGCCGTTCGACATCTCCAGCATGGAACCCGATGGATAGACTGATGGTCCAAAGAGAAGATAAGAATATTGAGTGAAGGTCGCACGAGATATGGATACGTTTTATATACATATATCTAAATACTACACAGAACTTGGCACGCAGCTCGGTTAGATGGCGGTGAGTGTTGGTTAGTTTGGATTAAAGAAATCAGAACAGAAACAGAAACTGAGGTTAAGAGTTAAGAATTAGGAAGATAACTTCAAGCTAACATGCAGATCAAGGCACTCAGAGATATATAAAAGAGAAATGTTAAGTATTATTATATACAGATTGTCCCCGAGTGCATAATTAACGAAATTCAAATCAGTAAAGAACCAAAGGAAACCAACAAATAGATAGATAGAAATGTGTGTGTGCATCCGAGGCGAGACACCGTACTAACTTATCAGGGACATCCCACCTGAATCCGTCTCCGAACTCGATGGACGTGGGCTGATGGTATGCGACATCTGGGGGCTGGCCTGCAGCAGATTGTCGCCGTAGGAGCCCGGCACGGGGACGGAGACGGGCAGCGTGTAGCTGCTATTTGGCAATTGGCGCGGAGCACCTGCTCCGCCAATGGCCATCTGATTGCGCTGCATCATGTTCTGGAACTCCTCGTCGATCTTGTTGTACTTGGCCTCCGTTCGCGGTGTCAGTGTGTAGTCCGTTTCAGCTTCAGGTGAGTCCGGCGACATGACGCCGTTCTTGTTCTCCTTCTGTTTTGTATGGAGAAGTGAGAGGGGGGAAGAGAGGAACCAGGTGAGTGACGTGATAATTGCCCAAGGCCTTGCTTTCGGCCCAATTGACGCTTTTTTTCCCCGCTAAATTATGTAAATGCCCATCCTGTCTCCCTTCCGACCATCTTTGCCTCCTTTTTCCCCGCTCACTTGGCGGCATTAACATTACAAAACCATTTACGCGAACCGAGACAGCGACGCCGCATTAGAAATGCAAAATACTTTGGCGACATTTTCCCCCCCGAATTCGCCGACTTTTCACCCGCTTTCCCGCTTCGCCTTTCCCCAGCGAGTGAATGTTTTGTCTGCTGCTGCTGCAGTGGCTGTTATCCGTCTTTGTTTTTAAACATTTTTACAAAGTAAAGCTAACTTTTCTATTTATGTTTTATGATGGGGTAATTATAGTTTAAGTAATTTGATAAATATCTGCCAAGGAACAAGCAATTATATTTAATTAATCTTTAAAAAGGGTAAATATCTAGGGATAATATTAAACACATACCTAGTCAGAGCTAGGAGCTATCTCTTTTGACATTCCCTAGGAATAATATATATCACTTTAAAACCGAAAGATATTCCTCCTGTTAGTTTCTCATGTCTTTTATATCCTCCTTCAGACTTAGCTGCTGTGCTTTTCATGTCTCACTTGAATTTGCATAATGGCAGCTCTCTTTTAGCCGGCTTTTCCTACACTTTTCCCCACAACGCCTCACTATTTCCTGGAAATTCCCAGGACTTAAACTTACCTCAATGATGTTCTTGTTGGTGAGGGACTCGTGGGGCTCGTTGTACTCGGTGTACTTGAGCAGGACGCGGTCCATGTCGGTGCTGGCATATTGATAGAGCTTGTTGCTCGACGAGAAGATGATCAGGGCGATCTCACAGTCGCAGAGCACGGACAGCTCGTAGGCCTTCTTCATGACGCCAAACTTGCGCTTGTTGAAGGTCACCTGCAGGAAGGACAGAGAGAGAGAAGAAACACCGGAAACGGATCCGTTAGCGGAAGTGGTAGAGGCAGTGGTAGTGGCAGCGGAAGTGGAAGCACTGTTCAATTACGTTGCCCCCTGTTCAAATATTTATGCGCTTCGAGAAATGTAATTAGAGGCTCCAATAGCCACCTAACCCTACATAGTTCCTAGCCCTGGCTAGTTGGTAATGAATCGATTATGGCCAAGTCAAGGCCAAAAGGGGCAGCACAATAAACAAGTTGTTACTGTTCCTGCGTGGCCTGCTGGTTGTTGTTGTTGTTGTTGTTTTTCTTGCCTTTACTGCCGTGTGATGACGCGTTTATGGCCGGGCCAAGACATCGCCTTAGCCAGAAAGGCAGTGAGCCAAAAGAAAAAACCTTGCGATGACACGAGCGTGTTGGAGGTTCAAAAATGAAAATGGAATGGTTAAGGGAAACAATTTCCGAGTGGAAGAAAAAATGATATATACTGCATATAAAAGCTGGGAAAGTTCGCCTTTGGCTTTTTCATAATTGATTCAACGTTTTAAGCTCTAATTAAGGCTAGAGTTCACTTAGTGACTCTATTTGAAGGGAATCTTATTAAACCTTAAAGAAGATCTAAAAATCGTACTGGTTTCCATAGAAGTTAAATGAATACTTATATTATCCTTTAGTTGAACCTTTTCTTGAGTGCTTAAGACTTAAGTTTAAATACATAATCTCTATAATTCAATATTCTCCAGTGGAAAATAACTCACTGAGCTTGCAAAATTCCTTCACTTTCAGCTTGTCAATTAATCAGCTAACCAATTAGCTTGTCGACTCCGATGAAACTAATTCAATGGAACAATGTGAGCCGTTGGCGGAAATTTAATGAGGAAATGCTATCTCGACAGGTCTTGGATTACAATTAAATAGCCGTAAATCGATTCACCTTATGGTATCTCTTATCCTTGTCTTAATTAACGTGGAATTGCCTTGCATTGATATTGCCATGGCAAAAGCTTTGAGCAGAATCAGAGTCCTGCCATGAACTCAAGGCTCCTGTTCGTCCTGCTGGTTCTTGGCAAACAATTGTTGTTGCTTCCACCCGCACACCTCATTAATATTATGACATATTGATGAAGCCCAAAGACTCACCTGCCGATTGCGTTCATCGGTGATGCGTGATATTTGAATTTTCTTGCGACCCATGGCAACAGTTTTCTGCTCCTTGCAAATATAATGGAGATGCTGATGCTGCTCAGCTGGCTGATTTGGTTGGATTCCTGTGGATCCTCCTCCTGTGTTACTCTTGTACGCTGAATACTCGCTCTTAGTTGCTCCTCTGCTCCTTCGGATTAATGTGGCAGACGAGGGGCATATTTAACGTTCTTCCTGGCTCCTTTAGTGTGTGTTTTTGTATAAGTGGACGGCTTGTCAAAACGGCAAATTCTCCTTGTATATTGAGGTGTGTGTATATACTACGTTATATAATTGGGTTTCCATATATATATATTTATAAATTGTCCTCAGGTAACTGCAAAGAGATAGAGAAGATGGAGAGACAATGAGTGATTGTGACTGGCCCAATGGGCGGGAGTAATTAACCCATATGCAGCCGATAGCTCTGACCATTTAACCCACTTAAGAGTGGATCGACTTCAAAAAGCTTTCCGGCTGGACGGGACGGGATTTGCGGTCAACTTGCTCCATTGTCGCTCCACTGGCGCTGAAAGTTCAATGCACCGCTAATGAACAGGACCGGTCAGGACGGGACGCAGGAGCAAGGATACACACATAGTATCGCCCACAACAATGACCCATTTCATCGGTTGGCTTCGGTTAATTGCGATTGACCCCACGCATGATTAGATTCGCGCTCCTCCTGGCGATGCTGGTACCCTTTGCGAAGGACCCTAGATGCCATCGCTTTGATGTTTTGCCAACGCAAAGAATCAATAGGGAAGCGCCAGCGCCAGTTGGCTTTCAAACAGTTTTTAAAGCGGAAACGGAAGCGGCACTCCAGAGATCCCGTTTCCCGTTTACCATTCCCCGGGCAACGAGCAACAGCAACACTCAACATCATCAACGGAAGCTGAGGCATCTATTTGCCGATTTTCCCCCGCTTTCCTCTCTGATTTTCCTACTGCGGCAGCGGCAGCGGCAGCGGCACGTGGCTGGCAAACGCGAACCAGCAAAAACATCCTCGAGACCTCTCACTGTTCGAATAAGCTGGGAAAAGTTTTAGCACTGAGATAAATAAGGGGTCCTAAACTAGGAATTTTTAGCAGACTTTTAAACAGAAATGTAATATATTAACTTGAATCTCTTTTTGTTATTATATTATTCTGTCATTTTTTGCATAATATATTCAAATATATCTCAAATTTATGCTCAGTGCTTTTGGCAACGGAAATCGAGTCGGATAAATTTCATTTCTTCCTTGTTCGTTTTCGTCTGCTGCTGGTTTTTGTTGCTGCTGCTTGTCCTCCGGCCAGGACTCGGGACGAAAACAACAAAAACAAGCAAAGGCAACAAGCAATGCCTTGGCAACGCTGGCTCGCTTTTCCCCTTTCCCCACCACCCACACTTTCCCCGCCACGACTCACGCAGCGACCTACGCAATATGCTTCAGCTTTCAGCCATGCCACAGCGGGTGAGCGCGGGGCTGAGGGAAAATGGGTTGTGACAGGACCAAAGAGAGGGGCGGAAAAACCCAGCGAAGAGTGGGGGTCTTAGCCTTGACGAATATGTGTGACAGCCAGAGAGCACAAACACACGCACACAGCGAGGACACACTCAACAAATTCGATACATTTTCCAGCCTTTTTCCTGCTCTGGGAAGAAAGAAAGCAACCCGCCATGATTATGCGTGAGTTTTGTATTCGGTGACTTGAACATTCATTATTGATATGGAAAAGAAACGAAATGGAAGCGACTGGGCATAGGGAATGAATCGATAATGATATTGATGACGCCGCTACACATCTGAGAGAAATGCTGGAGACACATTCGTCGTGGTGTCTCTCCTCTAGGGAATTTCGGATTTAATGGCATGACCAGGGACAAGTGTTGCTCCAAGTGTGGCAAGCGTTCGCCTCACCCTCACCCTCACCCTCCTCCACTCCCAAATCAATAATTATTCGTTTAGTAATCAATATTAGATTTTAGTTTGTGTGGTAAAAAGGCCCTCAGCTGACAGGACAAATTGCTAGCCAGGCTTTTGTGTTTGTGTTTGGGCCTAAGCACTTGGCCTGTAATTAAGGGACACCTAATCCGCTTAGGACACACACTCGCACGCTCCATTCGATTGCCTTGCCGAGGGATTATCTTTTGGAAATAAGCCGCAGATTGCCCAGCCTTAACTCGTGTTTAAGTCACTTGAGCTGCCTTTACTTCACTTCACTTTATTCAACTTAACTTTTGTATTGCATTTTTATTGCGGATGCTTAGTGTGCTTTGATAAGCTGAGCAACGAACTTAAAGTGAGTCAGTGCGAAAAAAAAAAAACAAAAAACATGAATAATTAAGCCAGTCAAGTGACTCAATAAAACCACAAGGAACAGTGCGTATGTATCTGTATCTGTATCTGTATCTGTAACCATCATTGCAACAATTGCAAACTCTGGGGAGAATGTGTACGCGGGGGTCCATCAAAAGGGATATATCGGGAGATATTAGGGGTGTGGGGAAGTGGCTACAAGGACACAAGGCCATGTGGCAGACGGCAGCAGCGGGACATCAAGTGCTTGAATTACAAATTTGTCCTTTTTTGTAGCATACTTATCAGCGTCTGCAATTGAATTACACTCACACTGACAACCTCTGCCCCTCTGTCGCACAAATTGAGTGTTTTTTTTAAAGGCCATAAAAAGGTTGAGCTTAAAGCAAGCCAATAAAATTAAATCAACATGAAATAAAGCTAAGGGTATTTCTATTTTTAGTAAGTTATAAATGGAACTAAAAAAGGGAAAGTTAAGTTCATGCTGAAATGATTTTTAGTAAGCAAATTAACATGAGCTAAGTCAATCTAAATAATAGTTTATTGAGCTAACAGAGTAAACGAATTAAATAAATAGTGGGTTTGCTTATATTCTGCTGTATTTGTAGCACTTTTCTAAAAAAAAATAACTGGAGAGAACGGATTATCTGCAATTTCTCAAATCTAAATTATACATTTGAGGGTATATCTCAAAAACGTTTGAAAAGTTAGACAATATCATTAAAGATACATAGGAATTAAGCGAAATTAAACTTAAATACAAAGAACACATGAATTTGAAGCCAAAACAAGTTCAAGATAATCAATCAAAGTTTATTTAAAACAAAGGCAAATGCATTTTCTTCTATATCACTAATAGATATCAATATTATTATCCCTTTACTCCCTAGATTCAGTCTGTTTTCTATATCCCCCCATATAGTGACCCAACTCCTTATCTTCCTTCCATCCAAACTTATCGGAAATCTGCATTCAGTGGCAGGAAGAAGAAGCATTCTCCCCCAAAACTGGTATCTAATCTGGCCAAGAATTTCAAGTTGCCAAAAAACTCTTTATAAATCAATTGGTCACGTCATTCCCGCGGGGGATATATAGTATAGTAATGGGTCTGTGTTTTTGTTTAGTCAAAAGCCACTTCAAGTGGTGCAGGTGTGGCAACACCTCAACTAAAAAAAAAAAGAAGTAAAATAAATAAAAGAATCAAGAATGGCGGTGCAAATATTTGACTAATTGCTAGGGGAAAAATGGAAAAAGAAGGGCTAATCACCGTAACGGAAAGGTGGATGCAACACAAAGGATGTACGATTTGTGGTCCGGGGGCTGAAAGAACTTAACACGGTTTTCATTGCAACAATCAAGCAACCATTTGTGGCTGCGATTCTTAGCCACACATTTCACTGGGTCAACGGCAAAGGCAGCAGGCACTTGAGAGGACTTGGATGCAAAAGGATATATGAGAGGGAAGTCAGGCAGCCTGGCAGGAAGGAAGGATGTGTGTCAAGACATTTGTCTTGTGGCCGGGCAATTAAAACGAAGCAAACTGCCGCCACACGTTTTCACATTTCTCCATTTAATTGGCCCAAAGACCGGGGCGACATCATTAGGCAAAAATGGCCAAGAACGAGTCCCATGCGTGGGACTCGCCACTCTCGGTTTCTCAGTTAGTCAGTTGCTCTGCTGATGAATCCCCAGAATCCCTTCAGATTTTCCCCCTAATTGTTTTGCGGGCCCAAAAACAAAGGCCGAGAGGGGGTGGCATTATTATCGATTTGATTTAAGTGAATCACTTTTTGCGGCTTTCGGGCAGACGACGTTAAAAGGCACAAAACTTGTTGCTTGTTGGCCGCCTTGATTGCTCGCAATTAGCATTTGTGTTGCCAACAGTCTTAAATTTATGCAAATTTTAAACTTTTCCGTATTTTGGAGGAATGAACTCCGAACCGATTGAGCAAACCAGTTGTGTCGCACCGAAAAATGAGATGAAGCAGATCAACAGCAGCAGCAAGCCAGAATTGCAATCTCTCCCAATTAGAAGGCCAGAGAGATTCCGATTCCGAATCCCATTCTGAATTTCGAATCTGAAGCCGAGAGACCTTTCATAAATTCCGTTTTTATGGCAGCTGCCCAAAAAAATGAATTTCAAGTTTAAGAAACTCGGAATTTATCACCTGCCCGCCGCCTCATTCTGAATAATAATAATATACAATCTTAGTATCATGTGTAATAGGAATGCCTGTTAATTTTCTCCCGCTCTGTAGTAGAACTTGGTTTTTGGCCAGGCTTGTGACTTCGCTTAGGTCTACTACGGATTCACTTTCACTTCTAATTGGCCACAGAGACATCTGTCAATGTCCCCCGCCTGGACTTATTGTTGTTGATGTACCGCAGTTAACGCAGCATTCCAGGGTCTCTGGTTATAAATCTTGACTTAATTAAAGACACGCGCGCGCGCTTTAAGATGCGCCAGCAACGCGTCATTTGGAGCTCCAACTGAGGCGGAAACTTCTGCTTTCTGCTCGGAAATGGAGTTTTAGAACTCTAAATTGCCGGATAACAAAAGTTAAGAACAAATAAGGGGGAGCCATCAATATAATGTGTGACATATTATCGGAAGAGTGTTGATTCGTTGACAGAAGAGGAATGAATCGGTTAGAAGTTTAAGTTGTTTCTGGTCAAGTTTTTTTGTATATTTTCAATGTGTCTTTTAAGTATCTTATGAATGTTACAAAGTGAACTTGAAACTCCCTCTTTTCGGGATCTATAATCATTATAATTTAATAATTACTTAACATCTTAATGAGATATATAAATATACATATTCTTACGCATGTCTTTCGATTGAATGGTGAATTTTACTTATTTTGTTGAAGTATTATCTATACTCAAAGACTTGTTAAAGAATCCTTTACTTTTAAGGCTTGAAAATTTAAAGCTATAGTATTAATGCATATTATTTTGATGCACAATAAAACAAATCCATAAAGAAACCGTCTCCTTTAAATATTTTTTTATTAACTTTCTTAAGACTGAAATAC